ACCCAGCCTTACGCATTAGATACAATGACGTTTTAAACAAATATAAATGTACAATAAGGAACAAAAAACTAAATGATACCCAAATGAAGCTTGAGGATATTGAGAAAGCCATTGATCAAAATCAATTCTGGGATCTGTGGAACAACTTCAACACAAAACAACCACAAGCATTACCCATCCAAAACGGTGACATCTGGAGAGAACATTTTGAAAGTTTCAGGGTTCTTACACCTTTTCCAAAGTCAAATCCAAGCACTTTCAAGCATTTTCAAGGTGCATTTTCAAGCATCTTACAGCTGTTAAAAATTACATATTTATATACACATACTTATACTCAAATGATTATTTCCCTACCTCACATTAAATCAGATGTTCTTTATGCTATAAACAACCAAATATGTGTTTCGTGATAGCCTTCTACACGAGGATGACAAATTAAAGAAAAGAAAACTAAGTTTAATATTTCAAAATGAGTTACCCATCTGTAAGTAGACAAGTAGATCTGTAAGGCATCCCATACAGATGTAGCACTCCAGATAGGACTCACATGGGTGTGTCCCAGTCAAAAGCCCAGCGGATCCCAGTGGCTGGGGGTGTTGCCAAATTGCTAGAGGGCGTTGCCAAATTTCCCTATTTGTTCAATTACAGGATTTAACCATGAGATGGCGCTTCATTCACAAATACACAAAGACAACTTGGTGTTGTAGAACTTAGTCTGTTTGCAATGTTTGCAGCTCTGCAGTTGTGTTTGTTGAATACTGTAGCATTTAATCACTTATTTGTTATGGTTTTCACAAGCTACTATAATGAAAAAACATCAGTTTTAGATCAAATAAAGTATATAGTTTGCTTTATGCAGTATACTTCTTGTAATATTGTTGGAGTGTTTTTACACAGTACAGTAGATTGAAGTAAATCAACTTATACATTAAGATAAGATAAGATGGACCTTTATTAATCCCGTGGGGACATTCAGTAGTTCAAACAGCAACAGGGTGAGAGTGAAAAACAGGACAGCACAGATTCACACAGATTCATAAAATCAAAAATAAGATGAGCGATAAAAATAAAAATAATGAGAAACTATGTAATAATAAATGAATAAAACTAATATAATTATCATATCATATATTATAATGTATTGTATTATTAAGTAATATCATACATTAACCCCATTATCGCAGATGCCACATTGAATGGATGAACACATTTATGCATCAATAATTACAACAGAGTATTTCTAAATACAAGTTGTAAAAATACTTATATGTATTTAATATTAATAACATAATGATTAATTTCAGATGATAATACTTCTCAGGGTTAGGTCCGGTCTGACAGCGCTTAGCTCTCTGCTGCAGAGAAGATCACTGCTCTAAACAAAGTCAAAAATCCTACATCCAAACGGAATAAATATAATTAATTATGATGCATACGTTAAGTCTTGTTCATTGTTTTTCACTTTTATTAAATGTTTGATATTTCCGGCACAGATCCTTTCATACCGGCAATGCGCGATAGAAACAACAGAAAGTGCCACAGTTTAAATATGCCAGTATTAATTTCGTCAACGAATACTATGACGAAAAATGTTCGTCAACAACTTTATTTACATGACTAAGACGAGACGATGACGAGCTAAAAATAGATTCTTGATAACGAAAACTATGACAAAATGTATATTTAGTTTTCGTTGACGGGACTAAGGTGTTAATGGTGGACTATCGGACATTCAAAATGCAGCATATTTTCCCCCAAGTGTCCATCTTGTCTGTCAAAATGCATCTTAAGTTTCTAACTTGCAATATCATTATTTCCGCTCTCTTCACTCCAGAAGAGCGATCTCCCTGTGTCTCTCTGTGTGCGGGGGGCGGGGCCTAACAGACACGCTGCAGCGGACACAGAGATCTGCCGGGGACGGAGCGTTCAGAGAGTTAGAGACACATTTTGACTAAAAGTTGACTAAAATGTAATTTTTCATCGACTAAAAGTTGACTAAAACTAGACTAACACGTTTTGAGTTTTCGTCGACTAAAACTAGACTAAAACTACGAAGGATAGGAATGACTAAAATGTGACTAAAACTAATAACCATTTTCGTCTAAAGACTAAATCAAAAACAGCTGCCAAAATGAACACTGAAATACGCGAACACAAACCTACAGACTGGGGGTTGGGAGATCACAGGAGGGGGGGGGAGCTGTGGAATGTGACCACCCCCCTTGGGAGACTTACTCCACACATTCCGATGGCCAATTAGTTTTAAACTAAGAGTTTGCAGCATACAGCACAGGCAACATGGGGGGTGGGGGCTTCTCAAAAGATTTTTGTTTGTTGTTGTTTTGTGTCAGTTTTACGTCGCCACTTCCATTCACATTTTCATCATTGTTCCACAATGTTTTCATGAAATTAATATCCATATATTTTATACTATACTTGCACTGCTTACCGTTTTCATACTTTATATATCTTAGCATATTCACACTGTTAATACTGCTCACAGGCTGCTAGTGTATTCATACCCAAGCTCACTGTTTATTCATCATTCAATTCATTCTATATGTTATTCTGTAGATTGTGTACATTACTTTTCACTTTACTGCTTGTTGCACCGTTAGAAGCTAAACTAAATTTCGTTGTCTCAGTACCTGTAATATGTGCAATAACAATAAAGCAGGCATCTTTATTGTAGCCTCAACAATCAAGTTCTAAGTAGTGCAATATGAAATAAAAACTAAAAAAATCTGTGCTGTTGTATTTGCTGTAAAGTGTCTCTACTGTAGGCTATTTTTATTATATGTACAGCACTTTGGCTCCACCAAACATCGTTTATAAATGTGCTATATAAATAAAACTTGATTTGAAAAACAACTACACTCTTTTGGCAGTGTTGTGGTGCCGAGAGATGGGAGTCGGAGGCGGGGTATCAAAGGTCCAAGCTAGACTTTTATTTAGCATCTGAAAACCATTGTACACAACTTCATTCCCGGGACATTAGTTAGGCGCTTCAGGAGATTGGCATTGCTGTTATTCGATGTGGACAATGCTTTCTGTCCTGCACACAGTTTACATTTGACCATAATATTTTTTGCGTCCTTTATCTCCACAAATTGAAAATAGTGGTTATATCTCCAAGTTGTAAATGCGCTGCTGCTCTCGCTGATACTTGCATCTGCCATAGTGTGTGTGTGTGTGTGTGCTGGTGGTGAGCGTTGCCGTGTATGTGTGTGTTAGCAAGTGTTTGTGTGTCTGTGTAGTTTCCCCATAAGGCAAGACCCGCCCAACTCTGTCTCTGATTGGCTTACCCTGAAATGTTACCCCGCGTTAACCAATCATCACTCCTCTCTGGTTACTTTCACTTTTCCATGGTGCTGTGAGAGGACATCGCTGTGTTCGCCTGTAAGCTACATCCGCAGGGAGATTCGGTTCAGTTCCATCACATAATGTAACGCACCCATTTAAATCACAGTAACTATAACGGCGTTACTGAATGGGAATAGGTCACTAGTAACGTTATTAGTTACCGCAAAAGGTAGTTGCGTTACAGTAATGCGTTAGTTTGTAATACGTTAGTCCCAACACTGGTAAACACACACCTGATCACATGAGAGCTGCCGTTTCATTCAGACAACGGTCTGATTTTAACGACTCAATGTGTGATTGTTATAGCAGTAATATTAGACACTAATAATACAGTAAACTATTAACACTGTACATATTATTGTTTGCCCGTGGGATTAGGATGATCGGTAGTGAGAGCCGTGCTGCATTTCCCTCCGGTCGGATGTGATATAAAAACAAAGCGATTATTTTTGTTGTTGTAAACTCACGTGAATTAAACAACATTATTTTGTTAAATAAAAACATGGGGATGTTTTGTAAATGATTACATGTCTCTTATTTAGCACAGAATATGATCCTATCCGTGACATATGGATCTTAACAAATATCCGATCAGATACCTGTAGATCTATCAGCTGTTTATTTCACATGAGTTCCAGTGTGGCAGCTTTTCACGGCTCCCCCTGGTGGAGCCATGATCCATTGCAGCTGGTTTCATTAAAATTACATTTATTTATCAAGGGGGCGTATCAAGTCCTGCGGGGGGGTTTTCCTTTTCAGCAGGGGCCCACCCCGTGCAGATCACGGACCCGCACGGGTAGGCGTCTGAAATGAAGCGCTACATCTGTATAACCTGGCTGAGCCAATATAAAACAATCAGCCAAATAACTTTTCAATTCATTATTGATTACTATTGTTGAGGTACTTTTAGGTTGGCAGTGAACATAAGTCAGAGGTGCATGGTGTACTTTTCCTCCACTACATGTATTTAATCCCTTTAGTTACTTCACACATCTGGATGAATGATGTGAAATATAATCAAGTGTTGAATCAGACTTTAGTTCCACCTGGAGTAAATCCACCAGCTACCCTGCAGTATACAAAGTACTTCAAACTAGCTGCACCTTCACCAGCTTTGAGAACACTTTCATGATCAATCATTATAAAACATATCATATATATTATTCTGAAATGGACCAATCTGCACAACGACTACTTTTACTGTCGCTACTTTCACTATATTTTGATTGAGGGACTTTTACTGAAACAGAGTATTCCTACTCTGGCTCACTTTATGCTGCGTTTCCATTACAGTTTAGGAACTGGGGCAGTAACTATAGTAACTATAGTTACTATAGTAACTATAGTAACGCAGTGTAGGCGGAGCCGTGACGTCATCTTCAATGCGAAACACAAAACCAACATCAGCCGTTAGCTGTTAGCACTCAGAGCTCACAGCTCCTCATATCTGTTCAGAAACTAGACAGAAGTTAAACAAGTACAAACCACAGACTGTCTGTGTCATGGAGAATACAGTCGCTGCTTTATTTCTGTCTGGAGGCCGTTGTTGTGAGTGTGGACGGTCGGAGCATATACAAGACGCCCGCCTGGCGGAAACGCTGAAATTAGGAATATATTGTGATGAAGTGCACACTGACCTGAGCTCCAGGGGTCTCTTTCTTCTTAAATTGATCCATTTAGTCAATGTGATGCTAAGCAGAGGAGAAAATGATAGAAAGGTCAGATAGTTATTAACGTTACATGCAAATGACTTTAACCATTACGATAACAAGTTATTATTATTAATATAATACAAATATTTAGATGTAATTCATCGTAATCTGTGTAGCAACTTACATTCTAACTTACAGCTCACAGTTCGTTTACTTTTATTTCATTAAAATGACTTTATTCACATAGAAAGTGACATTAATGGTTGTTTGAACCATGGTTATAACTCTATCTGTGTCATTACCTATCACCAAGTTAACACAGAAAGCAAACATTAGCTAGAGAGACTGTTTAATGTACTCCATGTATACAGTATTCTCTGTATATTGTGTATTCTTTAGATACTCTAGTGACATGTGTCCTGTGTGTAAACTTGCTGCTAATGCTCAATTTGTATTATATCTTATTGCATCTTTTAAATATGTTTAACTCGTGTAATGCCTGAAAACACTTCTGCTGTGACACAATCATTTCCCAGTTTAAGATAAATCATTATTTAAATGAAGTATAACTATTTATCTAATGAGCTAAACCGTCACTTAGCATTAGCTGCTAACTGAAGAACCCCATTCATTTCAATGGGAAAAACGCTACGTCACGGTCAATGGCGATGCTAATAAGCTAGTTAGCATATATTTAAAACCATATCTATGGTAAAGAGCACCAACACAACAACTCAAACTGTCTTAAAGACAACTGGTGTAATAAATAACTAACAAAGTCAGCTGAGCATTACAAATCAATTGTTACTCACCCAGAGCCGAACTGGAATAATAACTGTAGCTGTTAGCTGATAGCTGTTAGCTGTTAGCCGATAGCTTGTAGACTTTAGCTGTTAGCCGATGGCTTTTAGACTTTATTTAAAGATAATTTGAGACTATTTTTGGCGCACATTTTAAGTTTTTTTGTGAGTTTCTTTCTTCCAAGATTACAGCTGTTGTGTTGAATAAGATAACTTCTGATTCGTGATGAACTGTAAGCTAAGCTAACAGGTGTAAATACACTTAATGAAACCTCTGTAGGTGTTTAATCCACTCACTTCGTCTTCACCTTCGTCTCTCGGTTTTTTGGCGGATTGCAAAGAATTTTAAAGGTGCATCTTCTTCTTCTCTCGTTTTTGGTGGATTGCAAACAACTTGAAAGGTGCATACCGCCACCTACTGTACATGAGTGTCTTGGCTTTTAGCACCATAAGCTGTTAGAACCGTTAGCTGCTACCACCGTTAGCTAGTGATGGCAAAATGAAGCTTTGAATGAAGCGTCGAACCACTTGGACAATTGTGTCGGAAATAGGTTCATTTCTCGAAGCTTCAGTTACAGCGACCTCTCCTGGCGAAGTGCAAGGCTGCAGTGAGTTTAACGTATCTTTGCCTTGAAAAATATTCGATGCACACACACACTAAGACTGAATATCATGTTCTTTTTGCAATTAAAGATTGATAATTGTGTGTATTGGGTTATTGAGAAGAGACTAGAGAGTGCTGGACATGTTTTTGGGCGGAGAGGGCCTTTTATCAGTCATTAAAGTTGAAAATAAATGATTAAAAGTTTAACTATTCCGGGCTTTGAACCAGGTGCGAGGAGGACATTGCTACATCCTGGCCGCCGGCTCTATCCACTGGGCTATCTATTCCTTCGATGTTATAATATCACTCATTTTCTATTTGTTCACAGCTTCTCCACATTTCGAAGTGTTTCACGAGCCGTAACGACATATCTTTCTTCCTGGCTTGCTCTATAATGATCCAATTCAAATGCAATGCCAACAGCAACAACGCAAACTACGACAACAACCCACACATTGCGCATTGTTTAGAGCGGTTATAAAGTGTTGAAGCGCTCAAATTTGAAACTGTTTCAACCTGTCACCTGTCAGAATCGAGACGAGGCAGTGCATTGAATCCATAGACTGTATAAACCAGTGAGTTGATTCATTCAGGAAATGAAGCAGTTGCTGTTTCGACCGTCACATGTCACGTGATTTGAAGCAGTCGAACCACTTGGACAATTGTGTCGGAAATAGGTATAAATAAATATAAATATGTATATATATATATTAGGGCTGTCAGTCGATTAAAGTAGTTAATCGTGATTAATCGCAAATTAATCGCACATTTTTTATCTGTTCTAAATGTACCTTAGAGAAATATTTTTCAAGTTTTTAATACTCTTATCAACACATGAGTGGACAAATATGCTTTATGCAAATGTTTGTTTCATTTGAACAATGACAAATATTCTCATGAATATTCTCAACACAACAACCTCTGAACATTACAAATATCCGCCTCAATTCAACCTGGAACCTCTCTCATACTGTGTGTGTGTGTGTGTGTGTGTGTGTTGTGTGTGTGTGTGTGTGTGTGTGTGTGTGTGTGTGTGTGTGTGTGTGTGTGTGTGTGTGTGTGTGTGTGTGTGTGTGTGTGTGTGTGTGTGTGTGTGTGTGTGTGTGTGTGTGTGCACAGCAAATTTGAAATCTAAAATTCAACCCCCATGTAGTTGATTTTAACACTATGAAAGAGTTTCTATTGAAACCACCAGCAAAGTGTTAAATTAACACTTTCTAAAGTGTTGACAATATAACACTATCATAGTGTTACTATACCAACACTAAGAGTGTAAGATGTGAACACCAACACCAACGCCGATAACAACACTAACAGTGTTGGCTGCAGCTTCAATTGTACACTGTCCTGGTGTAGAGTAAGACTACAGTAGTGATAATTTATCCCATCTAACACCTTTAAGAGTTAGAAATGTACACTGAGCTAGTGTTGAATGCACATTATACTGGTGTTGCATTTTGCATTAGCCTCAACCCTCTGGGAGTTCAAAATGAACACTAATCTAGTGTCAAATGTCGTGTATTGGTATTATGATGTACAACAAACTGGTGTTAAAAGTTACAATGACCAATAAATCATTCCAGATATCAGCATATGACAAGTGCTTTATTTGAATGGTGACATGTCTCTTAAGACTGACACATTCTTCCAATATTCAATTCAACTAACATTCAATATTGTTCAACAGCAAAAATGTATATAAATAACCCTCTGTGGCAGTTGAGGTCAGGCAACAAACAACCTTTTTGGACCACACACACACACACACACACACACATGGGGTCTAGCCGGCCAATCACAAAGCTTTGATGCGTTCAAGTGCATTATTCTGGCACAGGAAGATTATGTTATAGGACATTAATGATAAAACAGAATATTGTTGTTCTATTTTTAGACACATCTCGCGATCGACTGGGAATCTCCCCGCGATCGACCGGTCGATCGCGATCGACTGGTTGGGCACCCCTGGTTTATAGCAATGAAATGTGTGGTGTGCTTGACACTTGCATGGGGATAATCAGCATACAATACAATTGAGAAATGTAAAATAGACCCTTTTCTCAGCAGCCATGTTGACATGCTGCGTAAACAGAGATGTCATTTAGGATGTAGGCAGGCCAGGGCCCTGATAATATGCTGTCTCACTGGAATGGCTGTGACACAATAGATCGGGCCAATATTTATTTGATCTATTACACCTGTGTTTACCCTGATATGACGTCAACATAGCTGCTGAGAAAAGAGTTTATTGTCGTCACTCACCACCACTGTCATTCAGTTCATCTTTGATGACAAAGCATATTCCACTTCTGTGCCGGTCTCATCCTCATCCACCACACACACACACACACACACACACACACACACACACACACACACACACACACACACACACACACACACACACACACACACACACACACACACACACACACAGTCTTTCAGTACAAAAACAAATCTATGTTATAGACAGTTGTTTGCAGAAATGTGTACATGCTTTTGAGTGCTGGGTCATAGCTAGTCCCTAAGACAAAGTGAAGCTTAAAAAGTTCATCAATTGCTGCTCAGGAAGTGGTAGCCTCACAGGGGATGCGCTTCTTGTCGATCAGAATGAAGAAGTTGCAGATGGCCTCCTTGCTGATCCCTGAAGCAAGAAGATATGGCTGGCTTGTGTCGATAAGGCTCTGAAGGTGCTCGTCCAGACTCCTACAGGACTGAAGGCAAGCAACATTTTCATTTGACATGGCTAACTATGCGCATGTATGTGTAATATGTGAGTGTGTTTTTAGGAATAGTTTATATTTGCACTAGCCTAGTCCTACTTTATCATAGTGACAGCTCTCTGTAGTAGTTCTGGTGGCTAGATCTAACATTCTTAAACCTGCCACATACCTTGTGAAATACGACCAGATGGTCAATGGCCTGAGTATGATCTTCTGGGTTTTCTTCCTTCCCGCAGGCTGGGGTGACGAGAGGTGCAGAAGGAGGAGGATGGATGCCATATCACTGTCCCACTCTGTAAGAAAAGAGAACAATGATAGAAAAAATGTTTACCCATCTGTATAATGTCCAACAGTTCATAGTGCATGTACAAGCAAAATACAAGACATGAACACAATAAAGTATGGAAAAAGTGAAGTGGCCTGAATACTTTCCAAACCCACTGTACCCTGGCATTCTCCCACTGTGTGGTCATACACTCCCTCCAGCCTCACACACACCATTTACAATAGGCAATATGACATGATAGGACAATGCAGTTCCAGAAACCATACCTGGTGATTCCAGTGATGGTTCATCAGCCCTTTGGTTCTTGGCAGACAACAACAAGCGCTTCAGCAAGGGTGTGGAAGTCAGCATTTCTGCCTGTTGGATGACCTTTGCTTTGAAGGAGGTTGGCCACTTTTCCAGTAGTTTGGATGGAGTTTCTGACGACTGAAGTCTTGGAGAATCTAAAACACATACAGCACAAACGCAAGAACAACAATCGGGTTTATAATTTACTACTAATGCCAATTTCACAGGTGTAGATCATCTCCATTTAACTGAAGGTTGCTTAAAACGTCTATCAAAATAGATTTACTAATAAACAACGATTAAACTACCCTATGTATACAACTACAGGAATTCTTAAATGCAGTGGCATGTTATAGAAATCCCACAGCATTCAAGGAACCATGTAAGCCATCTAAAACAGTCTACTTTGATCATAATCAAGAATACCTCACATATCCTGTCTTCCCATGTGGATCTTTGAGCGAGGGAAACAATCCCCAGTGCATACTTCTCTTTGGTCAGTCGCTGAGGGATTCTCCTGTAGAGCAAAAACACTCATTTTCAACATTTCATTCATTTAAGTCTAAGAGACTTAGTTTTAGAACATATAAACTTAATGAACTCAATGTATGTAGATACAATTGCACCAACTTCATCCACACTTAACCTATACATACATGACACTTTCATGCAAAGCTATAACAAACGGATGGCCAGACGTCACTAACATGTAAAACAATGGTGTACATGACATATTGAACATGCACTCACATTTTTGGCTTGTGGACCCTCAAAGCCTCCTCCTCTTTTCTGAAGCCTTTCAGAGTGCCACTGGAGACATCCTTTTCACTGCTGCTTTTCGAAGTGACTGAAATAGTATCTGTGCCTGAAGCGGAGGATGAGGATGGCTCTGGAAAATAATGTCATCACACAAGAGATATTAAATATGAATATTGAAATGATATGGTCTTCCTTTGTCATGTCTATATGTAATCTACTGGTGAAGTGTGAACCTCCATTGCAAGTATGAGTCCCAAAGTCATTGTCCACAAGAGCGCACTCTACTTGGGAACAATACTTACACAGCAATGGTGGTTTTTAGTCTAGCAAAAGCTTAAGAACAAGGCTTTCAACAAGAACCCCAAGTAAGTACAAAATTATGTATTTTCACTAAATCAGTTGAGTATGCCTGTACCCATGCACGTGTCAATCACACCACACATTTGATTCTTATAAACAATACTTTATCTTTTAAGATAGTATTGTTTATAGCAGGGGGTGCCCAACCTTTTTTGAACCGAGAGCTACTTTTAAAGTTGCCAGTCTGCCGAGATCTATAAACCAGGGGTAAACCAGGGGTGCCCAACCAGTCGATCGCGATCGACCGGTCGATCGCGGGGAGATTCCCAGTCGATCGCGAGATGTGTCTAAAAATAGAACAACAATATTCTGTTTTATCGTTAATGTCCTATAACATAATCTTCCTGTCCAGAATAATGCACTTGAACGCATCAAAGCTTTGTGATTGGCCGGCTTGACCCCATGTGTCGGGGCGTGGCTGGTCGGCAGTGGGCACTATTTCGCTGAGGTTGTCCGTGTCAACAGGAGTGACAGTCCGCACACACACAAGACCGCAATTATGGCAGAAGCAAAAAAGCCCAAAATATATAATTGTCACTCCGAGTGGGAGGATGATTACTTTTGTATCTATTCCAATTCAAAGTCCATCTGTCTGATCTGCGATTCGAGCGTGGCTTTATCGAAGAAGGGTAATTTAGGAGCGGCATTTCAAAACAGTGCACAAACGCTACGAGACGGAATTCCCTCCTGATTCTGCCCTACGCTCCAAAAGGGGAGGGGCCTGAGAGGACAGCTAAATGCACAGCAGTCCATTTCCACCAGGCCCAACAACAAGAGCAAGGCTGCTACCAGAGCATCTTATCATGTCAGTCACGTTCTTGAGAAACACATGAAGTCTTTCAAAGACGGCGAAGTTGTGAAAGAAGCATTCCTGGAGGCTGCCGACGCGCTTTGGGGGGACAGTAAAAATAACAGAAGCATTTCAACAGGTTTTTGATATAATAAAAACTCAAGTTAGATACCGTTATTAATCAGCTGTAAGTTTTAGTTTGTTTGAACTTATTCATTATAATTATTGTACAAAATGGTATAAGAATGCAAACTTAAATTGGTTATAGTCTATTAACAATTCAGGTTAAGAAACTAGTGTTGCTTGCATCCTATTTTAAAGGCATTTATTTTTATACTCGACTAAAATGCAACAAAAAAAAGGTTTGATTCTATTAATGTTGTCTTTTTTATTGCATGTAGCTTCAGATCTGAGTTGTTTTATTAATAAGCCTAATTTATACTTTTGTAGCAACACTATTTTTATATAATGGCAAAGAAAGGGTTCAGAGTCTTTTCTTTTTTCCCTGTGTCATATGTGGCAGCACTGTTCAATGTTTCTTGAAAACATTACCCACTGTAGTGACGTGTGAATAAACTCCAACTCTGTATCAACAACACTGTTGTGTAGCTTCAGTTAAATACTTGTATGTGTGTAGATTAGAAAGAGGTAAGATAAAGGATCTGCAGTATTTTATGAAGTATTCATTGTACAAAGGTCAGTTTTATACAAGTAGAAGTGTGTATTTACCTGGTAGTAGGCTGTCAATAATGGCTACGCCTCTATTTGGACTGGTAGATCTCGGCAGACTGGCAACTTTAAAAGTAGCTCTCGGTTCAAAAAGGGTTGGGCACCCCTGATCTAATGTAACAGTAGGTTAATGAGGGTGGATCACAAAATTCCCCTCTGTGGGACTAATAAAGGTATTCTGATTCATATGCAGTAAAGTGGTTTACTTGCCTTCAGTGATGAAGATGTCAAAACAAGCTTCTGGAATTTTGGTGTACTTCTTTTGGTTTCGGTATTGCACTTTGACTCATCTTCAGCTGAAGAGAAGAGCAAGAGCCCTATATGGGTAAAATGGAGATACACAACATTTGTTATAAGTTATTCGATTTTTCACATGATGCATCACAACTTTCCCTTCTTAAGCAAGCAAATACTCAAATTGTGGGGTGGCATAATATAAATTGGAACTGTCTTTAGATAAATAAATTCTACTTTATGCTCTGTTCTTTTATTTTTGTATCTTTAAGCTGAGAGGCTTCCATCTGTGCATGATATACTTTTCGGGACCAAATTAAGCACAGTGTTGGTGTGTTGCAACCCAGTCTCACGGCATTTTGTGTTATAGTCAAAAAAGTAATCTATTGATTCGTGTTCACCAACACGATTTCCCCATTGTTTTCGTGTCACACAGAACGACTTTGAAAGCAATGTAAATAATAACAAATTAGAAGGAAAAAGAGATTTTAAAAACAAATACAGATTTCAGTATTCTGACACAGACCGATTTTAGAAGCAATGCATTTGTATTGATAATATGTTTCGTGCCTGCACCAAATAATAACAAATTACAAGGAAAAAAAGATGACAAAAAATACAGATTTCAGTATTCTGAGCCTCCGAGCCATTTATTTTCCTCCGACATTATACCATTTAAAATAAAAGGGTTAGGCTAAGGGTAAGATATTGAGTAAGAACATGTTTTTATGAACCACACAGCTTCTAGTCTTCCAAGAAAAAAAAAATCGTTCTGTGTGACACAAAACAAATGCGAAAATCGTGTTTGTGAACACGAATCAATAGATTAAATGTATGCCGTGAGACTGGGTTGCAAATATTCTTAGCAAGCTAGTTAACATTATTAGCTACCACAAATAACTACAATCATTTTCAAGGGAAATTAACTAATGTTAGCTAACTGGGGAACAAATTCAATTAAATGTAACGTTATCTAGATAACGTATCATCACTCACTGCATGCAGTGCTGTTGTCGAGGCCACACAAGAGGGCTGCTTCCGCACGGAGCAGAAGAACACGTGCTAGAAAGGAAAAGGAGCCAATTAGCCAACAAGGTCCGTGTACTTTTTGTCAGTTTGATTTTTCGTTTAAACCAAAAGCCAAAAAACGGAAATACCAGCCTTTTTCCGTTTTTTCGTTTTTGATTCAAGATTTACCTGTGACAAATGTCAGCGATGTGAACAGAACTGTCACCCTACTTCCAGCAGCAAGCGGGAGAACAATATCTCATACAGTCGACCCCTAAAACAGTTCACACAGTAATGGAACAGTTGTTAAGCATTATTTTGTCCAACTAGTCTACATTATGAATTTGATGTTTGTCTAAACTGCTAAGAAGCTGACAGCTGAGTTAGAACAGAAAGACATGCAGGCCATAATCACTAGACGCTCAAAAGAGGAATGTGTAAGGCTTACATGAACTGAATTGAAACACTGTCCATTAGTTGATTAATAAACAAGACATTCAAGTCAAAGTTTTAGGCATTTTCATTTGTAGCTGTAAATATGGATTATGAATGAACACATGCAATGTGGAAACACACAAATAGGTTTATTCTCAATACTCATAACAGTATCAGACACAATGACTTTACTGAGAGTGAAGATGACATGAACATAGTTACTGTATGGTACTGAAGACATAATACAGTATATTGCATTTACCTCTTCCTCTAACTCTCTCTCCAAAAGTGGCCTCCATTGTTGTGCACAACAAAGTGTTCAAGCTCAGGTTTCTAAGTGATCTCATTTTAACATGTGCATTCTGGGTGCAGGGTTAGTAGGGCTAACCCATATCTGTTCAATAGATGAAAGGCAACTTGAGTTTAATAATTGTGCCAAAAGTACCAGTTTGTGTCTTGGTAATTGCACAAAGCTGTAATAGGCCACAAATAATCACATTTTTCTAAAAACACAGCAGCAAAACCTATTTTATCCACCCAAAAATGAAGGCCCACCTGAAAAAAAATCGCTATTTTTAGCATTAAATAATGTACACTTAAACTGATATAGCTTTTTTGGTGGAGAAAATAAATGTTGCTTTTGCCCACGTCCTCAGCAGTACATGGCTCTGCTGTGCCGGGGCTCCATATGTTTCTCCACACGACTACTGTAGGTAGTACACTGATTATGGATATATACACCACATACTATCCCACTACAAAAGACCAGAACTATCCCGTGTGTAGTTTTGATTTGAATTACAATGACATTATTCTCAGACTTGCCATAGTTCTTGGTTTGTACCACTGCTGCTCTGTACAGCTGAGTACTGGGGACCCACTGGGAGTCATGTGACTGGAGCAGGAGAGTAACACACGTCACACCTGCATGATGCTCCAGCTCAATGGGGGTCGAGTCTTTCAGCCCCACCTGTAAGAAGAGAAACAAAATAAATACGTATTCAGTTTGCTTTGTATTATTTCTTTTAGGGTAACATTTTGGTTTGATAACATTGTGCTATTTTAAGGAGTAAATAAGTCATATATTTTTTCCTAAATGTTTTCTATACTTACAACTTCTTATACTGATATGAATTGATTTACTTTTATACTATGAACGAAGAAAAATGACTCTTTAACAACAGAACAGGAACAAAACACAACTGTGACCTCTGTGCAGCACACACAGACCAGTCAGTCCATTTCTGGGGAGTAGCTAGTACCCTTGTGCTAGTTATATTAAAGTTGATGTTTCACTATTGGCTGTGTCTAACCTGTCTGAAATGAGCTGAATCCCCAGGAACATGTTGAGCCAGACGGTAACTAAGAAAGTAACACTTCATCCTGACCTCACTGTGGGGCCTGTCCTCATGGACCTGTAGCATAACACCCTGACACTAAAATACAAAGTATGTTCATTAAGAATGCACATACTGTCCCTCCTCTGTCTTTCAATGTAGTCAAACTTGTTGAAGAAAAACTATAAGTTTAACATTACAGAAATAAAAGCTTAATTACTGGTTAGAGTATTGAGAGGTCCTGATAATTTATTCCGGTAAATTACTCTGACCTCCTAATTGACCTTTCCGAAGATTATTGAGTCTATGTAAGGTTGCTGCTTGGCTCAGATCCACCAACGTCAGCAAGATCTCACCTCTTCCTAACCCCCCCGAAGAACCAGGTTCAATTAACTGCGGTTTCAATTCAGACAACTCTTTTTTAATCTGTTTAAGCGATCCCGAAGGATTTTGATATCAGTAAATGGAGTGTGCTCCTACCTAAGTGTGTGTGGCAGGGTGCAATCTTACCTTTGACGCAGGAGAG